GACTGTAAAATGGTAGTGTTCCTGCCCCACCGTGAAACGGAGGAAGCATCTGTGCCCTCGAATATATGAATGTGGAAGTATGCATCCTGCAGATTGAGGGCGGCAGATTGAGGGCGGCGTACCAGTCCCCGGGATCCAGGAAGGGGATGATGGAGGCAAGGGAGACCATGTAGAACTTGAGCTTCACCATGTACTAGTTCAGGCCTCGCAGGTCCAAGAAGGGCCTGAGCCCCCCTTTGGCCTTCAGGATAAGGAAATAGCGGGAATAGTACCCCTTGCTTTTGAACTCCCCCAGTACCGCTTCCACTGCTCCTAGGCCCAGGAGCCAACCCACCGCCTGCTTGAGCAGAGCCTCGTGCAAGGAGTCCTCCAGGAGGGATGGGCGGGGGGGGAGGGTGGTTGGGCAGGGTCGAAATAAACTGGAGGGTGTAGCCCCGGGAGATGGTGTTGAGGACCCATCGGTCCGAGGTCAGCCGTGACCACTCCAGAAGGAAAGCACACAACCGATTGGAGAAGGGAAGCTTTACTGAGGGTGGATCCCTGATGAGAACTGGCAGGGCGCCCCTGGGCATCCAGTCAAAACCGTCTTTTCCCCGCCTGCTTGCCCTTGGATGACCCAAGCTGGGGGGCAGGCCGAGAGTGCCACTGTGGGCGCCTTTTATAGTCCCGTGACTTTTTATAAGTGGTCTCGTATTTTGAATGGGTGGCCTGAGTGGGAGTTTGCTGCGGCTTGCACTTAGGTTTAGCCAGAGCTGGAACATAGAGACCCAGAGGCTGGAGTGTTGTGCGGGAGTCTTTCAGCCCATGCAGCTTTGTACTCGTTTGTTCTGCAAACAGGTTTGCCATCAAACGGGAGGTCCTGCAGGGAGGTCTGCGCCTCACTGGAGAGCCCAGAGAGCAGGAGCCATGACGCCCTTCTCATGGGCGCCGTGGAGGCCATGGACCGCGCGGCCGTGTCCGCTGCATCCGAAGCTGCCTGCAGGGTTGCCCTGGCAGCTGTTGTGCCCTCCTCCACCAGCACTTTGAACTCCTTCCTGTTGCGCTCCTGGAGGAAGTCCTTGAACTTGGGCAGGGAGCCCCACAGATTGAACTCATACCGGCCCAGGAAAGCCTGGTGGTTTGCCACCCGTAACTGGAAGCTCGAGGACAAATACATTTTTCTTCCAAATGAGTCCAGCCTCCTTTAATCTTTATTTTTCAGGGTAGGGGCTGGTTGACCCTGCCGTTCCCTGTGGTTGACCAACTCGACCGCCGGGAGTTAGGAGCAGGGTGGGTGTACAAGTATTCATGCCCCTTGGTGGGTACAAAATACTTGCGTTCCGCTCTCTTAGAGATTGGGGCCAATGAGGCCGGGATTTGCCACAGGGCATTTGAAATTTTCACCATTCCTTAGTGGAGGGGCAAGGCCACCCTGCCTGGTGCCGAGGAGGCAGGACATTAAACAGGGACTCCGAGGGCTCCTCCATCTCCTCTGCCTGCAGGTGGAGGCTTGATGCCACCCTTTTTAAGAGTTCTTGGTGGGCCCTAAAGTCCTCCTGCGGAATGGATGGAGGAGGGGCCGTAATCGCCTCATCTGGGGAGGGCAAGGAGGCCGGCGCGGTACTTTGTGTGTCCACTGGCACCGGAGGGTCCACCACCTGGTCGGTCTCCAGGCACAGTGTCAAGGATGTACGTCCCACCAACTCCTTCCTCGGAGGTCTGGAGAGGGAGGCTGATGGTCCTTCTGAGGCTCTGGCCAAGTTGGGGGCCATGGTGCCCACTGGTACCATTGGGCTGGCCATGGGGCCTGGTGCCACTGCATCTGCTGTGGCACCGGCGGAGCCGGCTGTTCGGCTTGGCTGGAGTGGCCCATCGATGGACGACTACAAAGGGAGGCCGGGCTGACATACGACCTGCTGCTGTCCCTGGACCGGGAGGAGTGGTGATGCTGACCACAGTACTGCGATTCTGACGTGGAGGACCTGTACCGTCGGTAACAGCTGTCCGTGATCGGCTCCGGCGGGCGGACCCATGACGGCGAGACGACGGCGATCGACGCCCAGGGCTGCGGGGGTGGTGCCGTGGTGGGGTCCTCGAGCGGGACAACGAACCGGAACGACGTCGGCGTTCGTGCCGTGACTGGCTGCGATAGCCCCTCTGGGACAAGGACCTTTGGCGTAGTCTGCCTCGGTCCCGTCAGTATTCACTCCTCGAGGCGGAGTGGTGCCGAGAGTCTCGGTCAGACGGAACCCAACCAGACAGCCTGGTGGGAGTCGAGGGTGATCCACGTGGATTTTGCCCTGAACGGTCGCTGGGCGGCGAACGGCATCGGGAACGTTCCCTCGACCAAGACCAAGTTGGGGGTGACTGCGGAGATCCCAGCGGCGGCTTGCCTCTAGAGCGCGGGGCCGACAACGGCGGTGCTCCTGGTACCGGCATGGACATAACATCCCGAGCCGCCTGCAGGGCCTCCGGTGTGGAGGGCATCCAGACAGGCCTGCTCCGAATGGGCCGGGCTACTCTGCTCGACTTGAGTCGGAGGCCTAGAGGCCGGTGGGAATCGAGGACTGCCCAACATCAGTCTAGCCTCTGTCCCAGGTTTACTCCGGGGCTGCGACGAAGAAGGCCTCTTCCTAGCCTCCTTGGCATGCCCTGTGGACGGGGAGTGGTGCCGACTAGTCGATGGTGCTGAAGGGTCGCCACGCACCAACACCGCGGTGCCTGGTGCCTACTCAAAGCGGCGCACCAGAGCCAGGGTCAGTGCTGCCTCCATCAGAATAGCCCGGAGACTAATGTCCCTTTCTCTCTTGGTCCAAGGCTTAAACGACTTGCAGATCTTGCAGCGATCGCTGAGATGGGTTTCCCCCAAACAGCATAAACAGTCCGCGTGCAGATCACTCACTGGCATAGATCTCCTACAAGTGTCGCATGACTTAAACCCCAGGGCATGGGGCATGCCCCGGCCCGGGCACTCTAGCTCAACTAAACAACTAATTAACTACAGGTACCATACACTGAATGAACAAGAAATTTTGGGGACGAGCTACAGCAAAGCTGGAGCAGAGCAGTTCCGAAGCACTTTCACTGGCGGCAAGAAGGAACTGAGGGTGGGGGGGGGAGTGTGCAGCCCTCCCTTATACCGCGCCATGGAGGTGCCACTCCAGGGGTTGCTAGGGATGCTCCCCTATGGGTACTGCTAGGGAAAAAACTTCCGGCACCGGTGCATGGCGAGCACACACACCTATTGTGGAATACACATGCGCAATCACTCAAAGAAGAACCACTGATCTAGACCATCCCTGCCATGAGTGCAGGGGACTGGACTAGATGACCTCTCAAGGTCCCTTCCAGTCCTATGAATCTATGATTTAACTTAACAAGGTATAAATTAAGGGGTGAGCTCCTGGAGTTCATCACTAGGCGTCATGCTTTAATTATTCTTGTGGCTTTTTTCTGAATCCTTTCCAATGTTTCAACATTCTTCTTGAATTATGGACACCAGAACTAGACACAGTAGTCCAGCAGCAATTGCACCAGTGCCAAATAGAGGGGTATACAGACTCTGCACTCCTACTTGAGAGTTCTTGATGATGCATAGAAGGACCTAATTAGCCCCATTGGCCTCAGTGTCTCACTGGGAGCTCATGTTCAGCTGATTACCACCTTGACCCTGAAGTCTTTTTCAGAGTTAACTGCTTCCCAGGATAGAATCCCTCATCCTGTAAATATGGCGTATGTTCCTAGATCTATAACTTCATTGGGCCATATTAAAACACACATTTTTTGTTTGTGCCCAGCTTACCAAGCAATCCAGGTTGTTGTGGATCAGTGATCTGTCCTCTTCACTATTTACCATGTCATGCTGTCAGGAGGGGCTCACGACCTTGAGTGGCTACCTCAGGGAAGACTAATAAAAACAGGGCAGACACCCCAAACTGGTGGTATGTTCTATAATTAGATTTCAGCAAGCCAGTAAGAAATGTGAACTCCTGGATCACTGTAGCAGGCTCACTATGGAGTCACAGACAGTCCCCTACATGATCACAGTCGTCTCTTCTGGCCTTAGAATCTATGAACCTGGTGATAGCTAGAGGCCTGAGACCAGAAGAATTCAGAGGTGCAGTTCACCAGAAATTGAGACAACAACCTCACTCAACTATCAGTGACTCTATACTTGTATCTGTGTATTCCAAGTCTACACCTCACAGGAACAAGTCCTAAATTATGTACAAAAATCTGTTAACAAGTTACAGTAGAACCTCAGAATTACAAACACCAGAGTTACGAACTGACCAGTCAACCACGCATTTAATTTGGAACCGGAAGTATGCAATCAGGCGGCAGCAGCAGCAAAGACACAGACATACACAAATTAAAAAAAAAAGCAAATACAGCACAGTACTGTGTTAAACGTAAACTACTAAAAAAATAAAGTGAAAGCAGCGTTTTTCTTCTGCATAATAAAGTTTCAAAGCTGTATTAAATCAATGTTTAGACGTAAACTTTTGAAAAAAAAACACCATAATGTTTTGTTCAGAGTTACGAACATTTCAGAATTATGAACAACCTCCATTCCCGAGGTGTTCATAACTCTGAGGTTCTACTGCAGTATTTCTGGTGATTATTTACACACGATGGGGAGTAGCAGCCCATCAGACTTGCCTTAAACATCTCAGAAATAACATTAAAAAACCAAAACGACTGCATTCAGACTTGGCAGAAAATCTTAGTACTATCTCCCAAAGAACTTCAGGAAAACTCCTTTTTCAGCATAAAGGAGAATCCTCTATAAACAAGATCCTCATGTTCACACAACACATTCCTGTAACGAGAATACCTTTGAGACAGTGAAACAGAAGACCTGACCTGAAGAAGAGTTCTGTGTGAACTGAAAAGCTTCTCTCTCTCACCAACAGAAATTGGTCCCATAAAAGATAATACCTCACCCACCTTGTCTCTCTAATATCCTGGGACCAACATAGCTACAACTACACTGCATACTTGAAAACAAACAGTTTTACCTTCATGCTGTTCAAATTCCACTTGGATTTGTGAAAACAGAGCTTCCAGGTGTTTTTGTCGATTCTCTGCATGCTTTGCAGCTTCCCTTTCTTCAGCTCGACCATTACGAAACACATATGATCCAGTTGGTATCTTTTCCACCCACTGGAATAAGAATTCACATATAAAATTAAGGCTTTTATTTATTTATTTAAAAGTACCCTAATCCAGTCTTTTAAAATTCTATTCTCCCTCCAATAAGGCCAATTTTTTTAGGCTTTTTGAGGCTCATAAAATTTTAATTTCAGTTCTGAAAAACTCCCTTATCCTCTCCCTCTATTGCAATATTTTCAATTTAGGTTGAAATCTGACATTACACCTGGTAAACTGGGTTTAATTCCACCACAAAAACTTGAGGGCTGCACTGATTACCAAGCGCATGATTTTACAAAAATGGAAGAGTAGGCTTATGCCCAAAATACAGCAGTGGTATTCAGATCTGTCCGAATTAGCAGCCAAAAAAAGAATAGCTTACTGCCCTAGGAATCCATTATATGAAATCGAAGATATTTGGACCCTGTTTCTTTAGATATGTTTGAATACAAATAACAGACTGCTCAAAGAATGCCAGACCTCCATTCTATCTAGCTGCCATGTCCCCCTCTAACTCCCTTCAGCTTTGGTTAATCTTCCTTCCTCCTCATGTACATCTTCTCCCATTTTACTATTTTAATCTCCACCTTATTGTGTTATGTTTATCTGATCAATTATAAATCTGAATCCGATCAATTATAAAATTGCATAATTCCGTTGGAGCTCCCATGAAGTATATGGTAACTGGGAACATATACAAGCTATAAATAATTTTATATTTTTTTGTATTTTTATCTGCTCACTGAAAATTAATAAAGATAACTCCAAAGTTCAGGGCTGTAGCTTAGTTAAGATGACAGCTATAAAAAACAGTAACTCTATCTCTGTTGCAGTTTAAAAGTGAGGGAAGAGTCAAAGACTGAAAGCAATAGTACAAATTTTTACTCATGAAGGACTGTTTGAAGGAATTGGACCTCTGAAAGGAACCATGACAACCGAAGTGCCTAGCATTATTAATGTGAAAGATGCCAGAGAGGACAAAGAGCATAGGTTGGAAGCAAGGGACAACTTTGTTTTATCTCAAAGAGAATTATTTGCAAGAAAACTAGCAAAACAAAAGGAAACGATAATAGGAAATTTCTTTGCTGAGTATGCTCTTTCTGCTAGCAGCACTTCCCACAATTCTGAGATATATGAATGGTTCCCCTCCTTTTTGCAGTTCCAGTGGTAATTAAAACATTGTAGCATAGCTTTTGCTGATCACATCCCTTTCTCTGGCTTGCTGCCAGACTATTCATTCCAAAACTGTGTAAGAACTCTTTGAACATTAGTAACAATTTCAGAGCCAACCAGGAAACTACATATACTACATTACCTGGCTCACAAACTAGAGATATAAAAATTAAATTTGTCCATTGACTAATAAGTCATACAGGAAGAGTAGAATTGTGGGAGATGCTGCTAAACAGAAAGAAAATTATTGGATAAGAAACTTCATTTTGCAGCCAACTGTCTCCCACATTTCTGAGACACATGGAAAGTAGCAAGCAATGCACATAAGTAGGAAGGGATATAGAAAGACTGAGACAGGGAAGTCTCCCCCTGAAATTAAATGCCAAAATGGGAACTATTTCTGGTTCACTACATGCAGCACCTTCCCTTCCAAAGGAGACCCCCACAAAGGACAGAAATTCCACCTTATAGAATCTAACAAAAGTTGTTAATAGAGGACCTTGTTGCTGCTCTGCAGATTTCCTCAGTGGAAGCGTAAGCTTTTTCTGCCCAAGATCTTGTAGACATTAATCTGATGCCTTGTATTGCTCCACATGCATAACTGGCCAGGAATAGCTTGGATCCTTGAAGCCTTTGACACTGGGCTTGTAGTCCTTTCTCAAGATACCATGTGGGCAGAGGAGGAATTGCTTTGTTTAGATGCACTGTCCACCACTATGTCACCCACTTTCTCTCCAAATAGGGAAGTGCCTGTGAATTTGGATGAGCACAGCATTTGTTTGTAGTGGGCATCTGCCATCCATGGGCACAACCACATTTGGTACCTGGCTGTTAACTGGATGTGATGCCCCTGGCTGAGAATCTCATAACATCCACTGAGATATCTGCCACAAAGGCTGTTGCTAGGGCTATTTTCTTAATGGTAAATGAAGTCAGGTTGGTCCTTGTTGTCCAGGGCGTTTGGGTCATCCAGCTAGGACATTAGGGTGACTCTTGCAAAGGAGGCAGTGGCCAGGGACACTGAGGGCAACCAAGGAAGACTCAAAATCCCTTTGAGGGTGATTTCCACCTTACTATCAGTTGTATATTTGGTTGGTATTATCCTATCTTTTGCTAATGGCATTGTAGCATCTACCTTTGATGTGATGGCATTTTGGGGCTCTTGCAACTTGTAGTATATAAGTGCATGTCTGCTGATATGCTTATGTTTCTAAGGGGTATCCCATTTATCCCTGATCATATCTTCTAAAGAAGAATACAATGGGATTGCTTTTTCAGGCAGAGACTTGCCTGGCAGGTATTTGCCTTTGGGCTTCCCATCAGGTACCTGCTCTGGTTGGATCTGGATGCCAGATGCAACCTTTCCACACATTTTTTTCCATGCTCTGCTCAGAGCCTGAATCAGAAAGCTCTCTCATCCTGAGTAGATGTGGTGAAGCCTGAGTCAGAGGTCTTAGATTTCTTGTAATTTTTTTCTTTCCCTTTTTATATTTTTTGACCACTATCCAGGAGTGTATGTCTCTCTCTTGTGGCCCTTTTTATCAAAAACCTTGAGGCCTCTCAAGTTCTACCTCTGCATCATCCTCAACAAGGTCCCCTTTTGCCACAGTTCCTGGGTTAACTGCATTTCTGTTCCTTTTGTGGTCTCCTCCAGGGCACCTCTTTAAGGTCTCAGGACTCTAGCTGCCATCTCTCTATAGGTAGGATTTCATGTTTTTTTTCCCTCCAGACCGGAGTGTTACAATTACAGTCCCGTTACAATTCACTGTGCTTATCCCAACAGTCTGACTTTAGTTCAGCACTTGCAGTTCTGCTCTCTCCTAAGGGTTATGACAGCATTTACCAGTGACCAGACAGCCTTCAGTCCACACAGTACATTTATTTCGGACAAAAGCATTATAGAAGGAACAGATAATAAAATAAACTGCCTACACACATGCTAAGCTTACTGCCTGTTATCCACTTTCAACATGGAGACCCTAGCAGGTTTTCAAATTCCTTCAAACCCTTCAAGCAGGATTTTTCACTCTTGTTTAAAGTATCATGTCAGTTTGTAGATCAAGAGAAGGACTGAGGCCTGGTCTACACTACGAGTTTATGTCGAATTTAGCAGCGTTAAATCGAATTAAGCCTGGACACGTTCACATGGCTAAGTCCCTTTTTTCGACTTAAAGGGCCCTTTAAACCGGTTTCTTTACTCCACCACCGATGAGGGGATTAGCGATAAAATCGGCCTTAGCGGGTCGGAATTAGGGTAGTGTGAACGGAATTCGACGTTACTGGTATCCGGGAGCTATCCCACAGTGCTTCATTGTGACCGCTCTGGACAGCACTCTCAACTCAGATGCACTGACCAGGTAGACAGGAAAAGCCCCACGAACGTTTGAATTTCATTTCCTGTTTGCCCAGCGTGGAGAGCACAGGTGACCACGCAGAGCTCATCAGCACAGGTAACCGTGATGGAGTCCCAGGATCGCAAAAGAGCTCCATCATGGACAGAACGGGAGGTACGGGATCTGCTCGCCATATGGGGAGATGAATCAGTGCTAGCTGAACTCCATAGCAGTAAACGAAATGGCAAAATATTAGAAAAGGTCTCCAAGGCCATGAAGGACAGAGGCCATAACAGGGACGCACAGCAGTGCCGCGTGAAAATTAAGGAGCTAAGGCAAGCATACCACAAAGCCAGAGAGGCAAACGGAAGATCCGGGGCAGAGCCGCAAACATGCCGCTTCTACGCGGAGCTGCATGCGGTGCTAGGGGGTGCAGCCACCACTACCCCAATCGTGTACTTTGACTCCATCAATGGAGAATCATGCAACAGGGGAGTGGGTTTGGGGTACGAGGAAGATGAGGATGAAGACAATGAAGATATCTCACAGCAAGGAAGCGGAGAAACCGGTTTCCCCAACAGCCAGGATATGTTTATCACCCTGGACCTGGAACCAGTAACCCCCAAACTCACCCAAGGCGTGCTCCCAGACCCTGAGGGCACACAAGGGACCTCTGGTGAGTGTACCTTTGTAAATATTACACATGGTTTAAAAGCAAGCATGTTTAATGATTAATGATTAATTTGCCCTGGCAATTGCGGCCAGTACAGCTACTGGAAAAATCTTTTAACATGTATGGGGATGGAGCGGAAATCCTCCAGGGACATCTCCAGAAAGCTCTCCTTCATGTACTCCCAAAGCCTTTGCAAAAGGTTTCTGGGGAGGGCTGCCTTATCCCGTCCTCCTTGGTAGGACACTTTACCACGCCAGGCCAGTAGCACGTAGTCTGGAATCATTGCATAACAAAGCATGGCATCGTATGGTCCAGGTGTTTGCTGGCATGCAGACAACATCCATTCCTTATCGCTCTTTGTTATCCTCAGGAGAGTGATATCATTCACGGTCACCTGGTTGAAATGGGGCGATTTTATTAAGGGGACATTCAGAGGTGCCCGTTCCTGCTCTGATGAACAGAAATGTTCCCCGCTGTTAGCCACGTGGTGGTGGGGGGGGGGGTGAAGTGATCATCCCCGAGAATTGGGGGTGGGGGGGGGGGGGGGTTAGTTGGGTTTGTGCTGCATGTTAACCCGGAAACCGCAGCCCCTCCTTTTACATTGCAAACCCATTTTAAATGGCCAACCCAACGGGTGCTTGGTATGGGAAATGAGGGCGCTATTGTTTGAAACCATTCCCACATGTTAAGAAGGTTAAAAAGGCCAAAAGACTGTGGCCTACCATGGCTGCCTGAGTCAGTTCAGGATGCTCCTTTTGGTATAAAGCTTGTTTTTTGTATGCTGGGCTTCTTGAAGCTGATCTGAACAAGTATGTGCTATTCCTCCAGTTTGTGATACTTCTCTGGAGTTGTGTGCCTTTCCAGGGATTTCCAGTAATTACTCCCAAGTGAATTTTAGTTTCTGGAGGAAGATCTGTAACCCTCCTCCCATGGAGCCAGACTATAATCCCTACCTCACAGCAATACATATAGGTGCAAAAGTGCCCATTATGTCTTGCACATCTCAGTATTACAGCCATAGAATCATAGAAGATTAGGGTTGGAAGAGACCTCAGGAGGTCATCTAGTTCAACCGCCTGCTCAAAGCAGGACCAACCCCAACTAAATCATCCCAGCCAAGGCTTTGTCAAGTCGGGGCTTAAAAACCTCTAAGGATGGAGATTCCACCACCTCCCTAGGTAACCCATTCCAGTGCTTCACCGCCCTCCTTGTGAAATAGTGTTTCCTAATATCCAACCTAGACCTCCTCCACTGCAACTTGAGACCATTGCTTCTTATTCCGTCATCTGCCACCACTGAGAACAGCCAAGCTTCATCCTCTTTGGAACCCCCCTTCAGGTAGTTGAAGGCTGCAATCAAATCCCCCTTCACTCTTCTCTTCTGCAGACTAAATAAGCCCCGTTCCCTCAGCCTCTCCTCGTAAGTCATGTGCCCCAGCCCCCTAATCATTTCCATTGCCCTCCTCTGGACTCTCTCCAATTTGTCCACATCCTTTCTGTACTGGGGGGCCCAAAACTGTACACAATACTCCAGATGTGGCCTCACCAGTGCCGAATAGAAAGGAATAATCACTTCCCACTGGCAATGCTCCTACTAGTGCAGCCCAATATGCCGTTAGCCTTCTTAGCAACAAGGGCACACTGTTGACTCATATCCAGCTTCTCGTCCATTGTAATCCCCACGTCCTTTTCTGCAGAACTGTCGCTTAGCCAGTCAGTCCCCAGCCTTTAGCAGTGTATGGGATTCTTCCGTCCTAAGTGCAGGACTCTGCACTTGTCCTCGTTGAACCTCATCAGATTTCTTTGGCCCAATCCTCCAATTTGTCTAGGTCAGTCTTTTGAAGTTTCCATGCTTTCAATGTCTCATATCTGTCACACCATCCCACTACCTGTGGGATGGGGTCTCATTGTGAGAAACCACTGATTCATGTAGGGGAGAAAAGGAGTTGTGTAGAAGACCTGCTTTATTTCCCCTGGGAAACTGAGGTCCATTTCAGTATCTTGGGGTAAATGATACACATGGTGTCCCTTAAGGAGTCTTTTCTTTCTGGGCTAGGTCTTTTGTGAAATTTACCTCCCTGAGCTGGCTGGATGGCGCTGGTCTTATACTTACACTCTCTCCCTGAGATGATCAGAAACATCAAATTATTCTCCATTGGAGTTGCCATTCCTCAGGGGAGGGGTGTCCCAACATGTTAGTCTGACTTTCAGCTCGATGCACTGGCAGTGCAAGGGTTGGCTGTATGAGACCAGACATGGCATAATTTGCCTTCTGATAAGCCTGTAAAAGCTGCCTCACATATGATACCACCACTTTGGTTCAGCTCTGTGTTCATGGTAAAATTCAGCCATGTCTGAGGCAGGAGCAGAGGCAAGGAAGTGCTGCAGCAGTAGATCGAGGTGGTTGAAACCTGCTAAATACCCAATCCAGAAGATGAAAAGGAGGAAGAAGGGGTAAAAAGTTGCTACTGTCCAAAAAATGTAAAAAAATAAAGCTGGCAAAGAAAATGGTCAGGAGCAATGCAAACTGCCATTAGCTCCTGCTGAAGAAGTTGAAGTTCTGCCATCAAGCTGGAGAAGGGGCTGTGCTACAAAATTATTGAGAGGAGCGGGATCAGCCCATTCTTAGTATTGTGGGAGATGCTGGCCTGCAGAAGGAAGCGTGTATCTGAATATTAAAAAATTCCATCTGAATTTCTGGTGGTGTTTAAAATGACTCTGTTCTAATTTATATACATTCACAACTTATTTTCACTGAAATTTAAAAATAAAATGATAATAGGTCACATAGTGATGCAACCAAGTCAGGCAAAACAAGCAGCAATCCTAACAATGCTCCTTAATTTTTAACTTCTATGCTGTGGTGCTGTATGCTACAAACTGAACCCAACTGGTCTGGTTTGTTCTGCTTTGAGCTGAAAGGTTGTTCGTCAACATTTTTCCTTAGCTTGCTCTCAGACAAGTCTCCCACTTTAAAAATTACAAAGTTCTGAAACTCTCTGTTACTCCAGGCTCCGAGGAGCCAAAAGTAAAGCTGATTAGAGGATAATGGGCATAAATTGAAATAGTTGGTTCACTGAGGTATACACTTCTCTTGAAGTGTTAAGTCAAGTGCAGACATAATGAAGTGAGAATTTACTCTATTAGTATTTCACAAATGATACATTATCTTATTAAACTTTTTAGCCCAAAAGTATTCATACTGTACCTGAATAGGATAAGCTCTTTGAATAACTATATCGATACACCCAACAGTACCACCTTCACTGAAAAGTGATGACAAGGGCAAAGGAAAAGGTCTGGGATCCTGATGAAATCCTAGTTTGGCATGCCACCGAGCACGTCGAGTACTGTTAGCTGAAATCTGAGTAAATTAAGTGTTTTTAAGTGAAAATGCCACAAACAGACCAAAAAGATCAGTAAGTAATTGAATTTAGAGGGAAAACTCTCGATCTAAAATGTTCTTATATGTGAAACTGAACATATTAAGGGTTTTCCAACTTTTTCATAGTGTGAACCACATCTGAATAGAGAGATATGCAAACTGACGGCCTAATGTATTTTAGTGAATAGTGAGTGTCCATGAGACCTAACAGCCTTATTACTTCATACCAGAATAGAAAGCTCCTCAAATAAAAATATTTCGCATGTCTCATACCCCAGAAACACCTTATGTCCCAAATTCTCCTCTCTTCTTCAAAATCCTTCCCCCAACCTACTTTTTTCATCCCCCTCCCAAACAATGTCTCACATTCTTGAGCAATTTAGTACCAAATTATTTAAAAAAGCATTTAAAGAACACGTCAGCATGTAGTAACTTGATACAACTTTGCTGTATAAAAACTTTCCTTCATTTCCTACCTCTCTTGTATAATATCCTCTATCATGTCATGCCCCATCAAATCTAGACTGCAAACTCTTTGTGACAGAGAATATATTTTTTACTTGCCTGTAAAGCTCCATCTACGCCTATGGCACTGCCGAGATAACTACCACCACCCTCAAAATGCACATCTAATCAAGTTACAGTAATACTTAATTTCACCTTTAACATAAGAGAGTCTGGAGTTTCCAATGGTGTGCACGCATCTTGAGAGCCCACAAGTTCTGCTCCATGTACTATGATCTTCTGACCAACAGTCAGCCTTCTTCCATGTAACAGTGCTTGGAGAGGAGGGTCCAAGAGAGCCCTAACCCCATACCACCCATCTGTAACTTCAATCACTGCTGCTCTTTTTTTGCTTTCCACAAGGTTTTTATTACTACAGATATCAGACATGTTTTCATTTAATGATATGATTTTAGAAACACACAGTATGAGTGTTTTTGCAGCTATATCATCTCTCTCCACTATCTTTTTGATAGCTGATCGCTGACTTTTATCAATTTCCAAATCATATCTACAAAAAAAAAAGGAACAGTGCATTCACAATACACTTAAAAATATACACGGTCTAAGATATTTTCTTTTAAATTAAACAGTGCTTAACTATAACTAACCAATCTATATGACCAAGCCCCCTTGGTAGAAACTGGAACTTCTATATATTTTTGAAAATGTTTATGATATATTTTAAGTATCAAAGGGATGAACTTAAATAACACAAGCATTCAAACAGATTCAGAAACATAAAATTGGTGTGTGCAAAATTCACAGAACTTACTGTGCAGCAAAAACCTTAAATATATTGCTGTACACTTACCTGTATTTTAACTGAAGTAGCACTCTTTCTGGTGTCAAACACCTATTAGCAAACTCCTGTGGATAAGAGATTTCCATAGCTGCCAATTTCCATACAATCCATCTATAGTGGTTGTAGACCCAGGCTTCAGTAATTAGCTTTGGATCCACACCAGGTGTATCACAGAGTGCCCTGCATACAAATTTTTATAATATTAAACTGAACTCCATTTTAAGTTGTTCAAATTTTTTTTTGCTTTGCCGTTCTGGCTGCCCCGTTTTTTTTTTGCTTGGGGCAGCCAAAAAGCCAGAGCCGGCCCTGTATCCTATTTATTGAGGAAATCAGGAATGGCCATTGAATCAGAAAATATGAAAAATGTTGACAAGTAAATAAAATATTTTAAAAATCTTTCTAAAATAATCAAAACCGAAGTTGCAGTGTTTTGCGTCATATGATGTCTTTTGGGTTGTAACTAATTTGCAAAATGGCCAGTAGCAAGGTAAAATATAATTGATTTATAAAAGTGCACAGTAGAGTTACACTGCCTGTGTATATTTTGCTTTTAATTGATCTTCAGAAGGGGCCTGCAAATGGGTAGGGATGGGGAGTGTGGAGGAAAGAGTTATGTTTGCCTCCTTTTTGTTTCTTATGCCTTCTTAGGCAATATTATGTATATTTACAAAATGTTTTGTATTTAGGCTAAGTTGTATAACTATGAACTGGATTCCCAGAATGCTTTGATTTTTTGTGGAAATTTACTTTCTATCAGAAGTTGTATGTTCTGTTAAGGAATGTTACATATAAATTGTGTGCTGGGAGCAGAAAACAGTTCTTTTCTTTACTGTCTAAACTTACTTTACTGTCTACTAATATCTGAAATGTTATTGTTTATGGTTGGTACAACTATCTTTGTATCCTGAAAATATAGGTATGAAACTAGATAAGAAAAAAGGAGTAAAGTGTATTTAATATTCTACTTGTCATAAACAAGTGGACTATATTTATAAGTCAAATTAAGCTCACACTTTGGACAGACTGAACTGTTGCAATACTGTTCCTCTGAAACAGGTAATGTATAAACCCTTCTGTGCTGATCTATCTGATTAATAAATTGATTGAGCCAAGTTATGTGACATTTTGCTAATTGATAATCTAAACCAAACCACTAACAATGTATATAAAAAAGCCCTAAACAGCATATTCCCCCCTCAAATAAGAAAAGTTAGAATTTTTTTCCGCTAGTTGTTTTCCTTAGTAATTTTAGGAATGTCTTGTCTCCCCATTTTTTTTAAATTTTTTTTTTGGTTTGGAAGACTCCTTGGACAACTCACAGTTGAGGATCAAGGGCTTTTAGTCCTTCATCTGAAAAGCAGGGATGTTAAATCCTTAAGAGAACTTTTCAATCAAGTGTTTTAATAAGATAGGTATTAGCAAAAAAACTCACTAATTTTTAATCCGAATAAAAATGAGAAAATGAAACCAAACTAGCTGAGAGGGGTCATCTCCATGTCATAATCTTGCCAATACTGCAGTTATTCAGAAGCTTCCAGAGTGGACAAACCCTGAATTTCTAATGTAGAAAGGAAAAATCCTTCAGGCCTTTCTTATAACTTCAAAAAGGTATGAATGAAAACTGGACCCACTGAAATCAACAGGAGTTTTACCATTGACCTTTGTGGAGTCAGGATCTCACTCTATAAATCCAACTTCCCTTTGAAAGGGAAGAGAGAGTAATAATTGAACTGGAAGATTTGCAAGTTCTCTCACCCATCATGCAAAAAACAAACAACAAAAACCTTCCCCCCTCCCCCCACCTGAAAAAGTCAAAAGATCTCAATCAAAAGATTCAGCAGGCTTCCAGGCTACATGAATCTTGAAAACCACTCCGAAAATATGCTCCTGATTTTAATATAAGTCAACCTTCTATATTCCTATTTGCAGATCACCACAGTGGAGAAATGGACAGATGACCCATTGCACATATTAAGCCTCACATAAATACAAAGGCTTAAAATATTCTTATGTACAATGGCATAAGTAGACTAAAATGTGCATTAATGACCTGTAGTAAGAGAGTAGCTACCATCTTATAAACACTTACTGTGTATACTGGTTTTATCATAGGACGGGGTTATCAAACTTGGTTCGCAGCTTGTTCAGGTCAAGCCCCTGGCGGGCTGCATGATGCTTTGTTTACCTGAGCGTCCGCAGGTACGGCCACTCACAGCTCCCAGTGGCTGCAGTTCGCTGTTCCTGGCCACCGCTTCCCGCAGCTCCCTTTGGCCGGGAAAGGTGAACCACGGCCACTGGAAGCTGTGACCGGCCATACTTGCGGACGCTCAGGTAAACAAAGTGCCTCGCGGCCCGCCTGAACAAGCCGCGAACCAAGTTTGGGAACCCATCATAAGGTAATATCATGTAGTAATATAGGAATAATTTTTTCCTCAAACTCATAATCAAACCTGTAAAATTCTTCTTTCCCTGCCTTTCCCTCATCAGTAGGTATAAGCCATCCTCCATCAGCAAGCTGTATTCCATGTCCAGCCAGTAAATACTCCTTACTGAAAAAATCCTGGATGAGAAACTGGAAAGATTCTGCATTTATGCTGTTAACTTTTATGCAGTGCTTCGAAACACCATACATGTGCAGCTGTAAATGATCAGGTGAGAGACAGCAAAGTAAGAAAAACTATCCGATACAACAAGCATTTCAGCAACCAGAAAATTTTCTTGTTAAATACAGAGTTATTGTAAAACATCTCCTTTAAATGTGTTCAGTTCTCATCTGCCAGGGAAAACTAATATGTAATCCAAGCATAGAGGAGGAACTCCTAACAATATTACACCTCTACCCCGATATAATGCGACCCGATATAACACGGGTTTGCATACAACACAGCAAAGCAGCGTTTTGTGGGGCGGGGCTGCGTGCTCCGTCGGGTCAGCCTCCGAAACGCTGCTCTGAGCAGTGTGTTAAGGGTGGGAGATGGGCGGGCAAGCAGGGTGAGGAGGCGAATGGGGAGGTGAGTGGCAGGCAGGAGGGGGGGGGGGGGAGGCGGGCGGGCGGGAAGACAGTGAGCAGGAAAGCGGCGGTCGGGTGGACACGGGGAGGCGCACCGGACAGATGGTGAGGAGACTAGCGGGGAGGCGAGCGGCAGGCAGGGTGAGGAGACGAGCTGCAGCCGGGAGTGCTGGGCGGATGGTGAGGAGACTAGCAGGGATATTGATTTGTCCCAGGCCCCGCACCCCTCTAGGGACGGCTCCGAGACGCTGCTCTGAGCAGCGTGTTAAGGGTGCCGGGCCAGGGGGTTGGATAATAATATACCTATCCTATACCTATCTCATAGAACTGGAAGGAACCCCTGCCTTCACTAGCAGGACCAAGTACTGATTTTGCCCCAGATCCCTAAGTGGCCCCCTCAAGGACTGAACTCACAACCCTGGGTTTAGCAGGCCAATGCTCAAACCACTGAGCTATCCCTCCCCCCTTAAATTCACATTCACATTAAGGGGCAGAGGAACTCGGGGGGCGGTCAGGGGATAGGGAGCAGGGAGGGTTGGATGGGTTGGGGGTTCTGAGAGGTCAGTCGGGGGCGGGAAGTAGGTGGGGGTCGCACAGGAGGCGGGGCCAGGCTGTTTGGGGAGGCACAGCCTTCCCTACCCGATATAACGCGGTAAGATTTTTTGGCTCTCGAGGACCGCGTTATATTGGGGTAGAGGTGTAATTGGAAGTTGAAGCTAGACAAATTCAAATTAGAAATAAAATGCAAATTTTTCACAGTGAGGGTAATTAACCATTGAAACAATGTTACCAAAGATTGAGGTGGAATCTCCATCATTGTCAATTTTAAAAGAAAGCTTGGAAGTTTTTCTAAAAGATATGCTCTGGGTCAAAGAGGAATTAATTCAGGGAAGCCTTAGGGCCTATATTACACAGGAAGTCAAACTAGATTTTCACCATGGTCCCTTCTGTCTATTAATCTAAAATTTTCACTTATCAAACATTTCTCAACAAAATTTGCATAAACAATATGAGATCCTCAATCAGCAGTAAAAGATTTTACATGGATATTTTTGTATTGTTGAATTGGGCCCTTTTGTCCAAAGTTTACAAAGGAAATGAATATAAACACCAAAGAGTAAAATATTTCAAACAAAACAAACTGCCTAAAAAAGACCCAAAAGATCATTTAAAAGATCATTTTTCTCTATCATAATGGCAAGCTTGTCATTTTAACTAGAAAAAAAAAGGTGGAATAAGAAGGTGGAATAAAATCTGAACGCAATTTTCTACATTCATGCCTAAGAAACCATACATGTCACCTATTAGCTATTACCAGGCTTTTCAGTTAATCATTTCTAAAGCTATCAATTCTCTAGTAAAGCCAAGTATGTTACACACACTGTGGGCTATGAGAAAGTCTTAGGTTTTATAGGAGTGATGTCACACATATGAATTACAAAAAACAAAACCAAACACCACAGCCAATAAGAACAGTGGGATGACTATGAGATTCTGCTCCTTTGCTCTGCTGGGAACAAGAGGGTTCTGATACCAACTTGGCTCCAAGGTAGCAGAAAAGAGGAAAAATCACTAGTAGGATCTCAGCAGAAATCAGAACATGTTATATAAAAGGCTGAAATTTCATTTTAGGATTAACTATTGTGGGTTAAGAGCCATCGCACTGGGGGATTTACAGCCCCTCACTTTACCTTTGTAATTTGCTCTACCCTTATTTTGTAATATAATTTTTGAAGGGCCACAGAGATACAAAAGTTTCTTAAAACTAAAATGACTGCATGTACTAGTTAATTTTTTTTATTGTGATTACTACCTTAGTGAATGTACTGCTGTAATATTTGGCTATAAAATCCAAGGAGTATTTAAGTATTTCACTTAAATTCACTTATTCAAAATTAGCTAGACCTTTTGAATAATACAATAAAGATCCACCTGTTCAATGGAATAAGTACTAGGAGACTTGTCTTCTACAGCAGCTTTCAGAGAGATCCTTTTTGCTGCAGATGTTTTCATGAGATAAAGACTGCCTGGCTGCGGGTGAATATTTTGCCTTTGTTTCTTTCTAATTCTCATCTCTTGCAGATTTCTGGCACAGTGAAGGTTTGCAATAATTTCCATCAAATCTGCTAGGAAAAAAAACACCACACATCAAATCTTGTTTCAATTGTGTGTTAATTTAGGATATGAACTCATTTCAATAAAAGCAAGTGGGTAACAAGCATGATTTTTTTAGCTAGCATAATGGTTTTTAGAATTTGCCATACAGCAAACATACAGAATCAAAACTATTTAAGAAGTATCATTCATTGAAAACATTTTAAAATGTTTAATTCAATGAGTGCATTTCAAAGTTAAACACTTTTATTCTAGCATCTATGTTTGTTTTTGTTGAAAACATTAAAATAGAAAGTAGTCAATCATTTCTGAATCTATAATCTTGAGATTTTAAAAAGAAGTGACCTTTTCCTTGTAAACAATGGGCCTAACTCTGCAAACACTTATAGATGTGTATAATGTATGTATTAGTCCCATTGAAGAAATTTGGACTACTCACATAAGTGAAGTTACACATGCTGACTGGGATTTTCAAAAAAGCCTAAAAGAGGTAAGCCCAACTCCCACTGAAAGCTGACTACCTAATTCCCTTATGCCTCTTGGAAAATGCTGGCCATGAGCGTTTGGCAGGATTGGACCTAAATTTTAAAAACATTGGCAAACAAAATAAAAGTACGTACATACGTACATAAATAAAACATACTAGAAGTGACCATTCTATACAGCGCCTAGAATAATGTATGCTAAACAAAAGTATATAACCAAATGTTAAATGAAATTCAAATAGCTGTCACACAACATATTTTCCAAGAACTGCTGTGTCCAAAGGTATAGCAAGTCCTTGACTGACTTTCAAAATGTACATATAAATGAAAATGCAGCATTATGAATATCACAGACCAAAATCAATCAAATATTGAAAAAAGTTTTTTACTTTTAAATTTCTATTATCTAATGCTCCTATGTATAGGTTTAAAAATAAAAGCAATAAACTCTCAATAATATGCAAAAAGCTTCAAGGTTATATTCAAACAATTACTGCTCACAACAGATAAATGGTCAAAAACGTTTGCCTGAAAATACCTGAATCACCATCTCCATTATCTCCTAAATTACATGCTGTAACTTGGTTGGTGCAATCTTTCTCCTCTGACTGATAACCTTCAGTCTCTCCAGTATTTGGTTGAATTGTGACATCTTTTAGTTCTTTATCTCTATTCATATTCTTATTAATCAATGAGTCAAGTCTTTTGCTGCCATGCTGCTCATCTGTAGAAACATCTGTCTTAACTTTGAAAGGTGGCACAAAAGTTTTGGCAGTTTTGCTTAATACAGGCAGATTTTTTCTTTTATCACTTTCTTCAGCAGAAATCTTATTAAATGGAGTAAAAAAACCTGATGTACCACTTAAAGACTGTCTTAACATATGATGCTGAAAAATGTCAGATTTAGATTTAAATCCTTTAAAACCCTGGTCTGGTATAGTAAGATTAGGATTCTTGACTTCTTGTCGTTCTTTAGTAGCACTGTATAGAGAAAAATATTGAACAACATATAATTGAGCTTGGCTATCAGTAAATTTTCATACAAAACCTAACAAAGTTTGTCATTCTATATAATTTTCTTTCTTTAATCTAGTAGCCTCCCATTTAGTAAATAACTTTCAATTATATTCACATAAAATAATTCTTAGAACTAGCTAATTCTTAGTAATAGCTTTATTACTTCAAAGAAATCAGGTTGCCTAATACATTTTATATCTATGGAAAAATAAAATCTGAACACAGATGTCTAATTTCAATGGAATATTGCAGCATTTTTATATTAAGGCAAAAATGTAAATGATGTTTCAGTATAATTTAAATTAAAATTGATTAGCATTTTTTTAGATAATTGTGTAGCAAATTACTAGTAGTAAGATTAAAATCAATCCACAAGAACATATTCACCCCATATTCTGTGAAGCAGTTCTTTAGAAATAAATCTTAAATTATACTACACGTTTTTTTCTTACCTGAAAGGAACACAAGTTTCAGGTTTTAAAGGAATATGGTACATAAACTTCCTTCTGTCTTTCATTATGCCTAAAAAATAATTAAAACATAGTATGTTTCAATGGCACATGTGATGTTTCTGGAACATATTAGAGATTTTGTGTGTGTGTGTATATATATATATATATATATAAAAAAAATACACACAAGTCTACAGAGTCAATAAACAGTTTTCTTTCCTTTTTTATTTTTTAAGAAAATGAACTGATTTCATATAAAATCCTCTTTGTTTTTAAGAGACCAATATTTAGGTCTCCTTGGTTACCATTAGTGAGTGAAAAGTAAGTTTTGCTGTACTGACAAGTGAGCTCAGATATGCTTCCCAGATCCAAAACCTGCACAGCTACTATTATTGAGAGAGCAGTTCTTGTTATTAGAACTCCCATGCCCGCCTAACAGCGCTCCTAGAAACCAGCAGCAAAGCCTCCTTTGGCATAGATCTGTGGGCAGGTCTACACTACAACCGGGATTGACGCTCTGAAATCGATCCACCAGCGGTCGATTTAGCGGGTCTAGTAAAGACCTGCCAAATTAACTGCAGATCACACTCCAGTTGACCCCTGTACTCTACCCCAATGAGAGAGAGGGATAGCTCAGTGGTTTGAGCATTGGCTTGCTAAACCCAGGGTTGTGAGTTCAATCCTTGAGGGGGCCACTTAGGGATCTGGGGCAAAATCAGTACTTGGTCCTGCTAGTGAAGGCAGGGGGCTGGACTCTATGACCTTTCGGGGTCCCTTCCAGCTCTATGAAATAGGTATATCTCAAAAAAAAAAAAAAAAAAAAAAAGTTAAGTCGACAGGAGATTTTCTCCCATCGACCCCCCCAGTGTAGACCCCGCGGTAACTATTCATGCAGCTGGAGTTACGTAGCATAGGTCGACTTACCGCAGTAGTGTAGACATAGCCTGTGTCTCTTCACCTGCCTGCTGCTAGAAACCCCCTGGTCCACAGGCATTCTTTCTGACTGGCAATGTTAAGCCCTGCTATATTTCAGATTAGCTCAATAGTAGACAGCTTAGAATTTTCACATCTCAGTACTTTAGACACGTGTGAATACATCTTACAGTAATTATTTTTTGTCTTTTGGTCAATTTTATAGCTGGTCTAGCTCAAACTAATGGTGCCAAAGAAATCCTAATACATCCTTTTTAATGTCTACATGAAGCCACTGGGTGGGATGCAAACTGGGGGAGACCACAATCTCACATCAGCATTATGCAAATGATCCCTGGCTTTGCTTCCAGTGCAGAAGGCATAACTAGTATCCTCTCCCAAATATCACAATATGTGGCTGGCTGCAATCAGTACCGGGATTAAAGATAATTGGCAGAAACTCAATCAAGGCAAGATGGAAGGGATGCTAGTAGAATTTGTAAAATGCTTCCAAGAGCTATCTACTGCTATCAAATCACACGCTATTAAAGGAGTCTGCTTCCGGGTCATCAGTTGGTCAATACACTATGGGCGTTTTTATACTCCTCACTGATTCTAAAGTTTCAAGTAACTGCCACTTTGAAGAATGCCTTCTTCCACCTATTAAGTGCTATAAAATTGTCAGATGACAATTTCATCACTGTGATACATGCTTTTGTGACCTCCAGAGTGGATCACTGCAACTTTGTACATCTAGATAGGATGACAGTCCTTAAAAAAGATCAGTTAATCTAATTAATTTGCAGCCTCCCTCCTTACCAACACCAGGTGCCAAGAGCACATCCGAAGAAGTGGGTTGTAGCCCACGAAAGCTTATGCTCTAACAAATTTGTTAGTCTCTAAGGTGCCACAAGTACTCCTGTTCTTTTTCCCAGTGCTTTGGTCACTACACTGACTCCCCACAAAATACCATGTCAGGTTCAAAAGGGAGCTAGATAGAATCATGAAAGATAGGTCCATCAATGGCTACTAGTCAGGATGGGCAGGAATGGTGTCCCTAGCCTCTGTTTGCCAGAAGCTGGGACTGGGTGACAGGGCATGGATCACTTGACGATAACCTGTTTGTTCATTTCCTTTGGGACACCTGGCATTGGCCACTGTCAGAGGACAGGATACTGGGCTTGATGGACCTTTAGTCTGACCCAGTATGGCCGTTCTTATGTTCTTGGACCCAGTCTTCAAGGTCCTCCATAAAAATGTCTCAAGGTATCTAAAAGAGCATCACTTTGGGCTGTTAAGATCTCTCTGCAGCTATGTTCCTCAAAGACTCTTAGGTGTTAATATGTTTTAACTCAGACCTCCAAATTTTTATGTAGAAATAATATACAATTTTACATAAAAATGAACCTATTGGTAAGGTATCCTCATCTTACTGAGGTTGCAGTTTGAGAGTCTGAGTAAGATTTTGATGTACTGGATGTATGCACTGTGGATGATTGCATGTTGGAAGTGATAAATTTTTATTTTTTTTTTTAAATAAAGGTGAGCTGCGAAGATACTTCAGTATTATATTTGTGTGGTAAGGCATCTGATTTCAGGTTAGCACAGATGTTAATATTGCTTAAATGGTATTTCCTTGATTTTTCATGTGTGTTGATGGGAAAAGCGCTTACGCAATCTTAATTCATTAACTTTTTTGTGTTGGTTTATTCAAAAGAGAACTATAAATGGCACTTGATATGACAATTTACTATATCATATATAAACAAGAAAAATAAAATTACCATCTGGAGTGCTTTTTGAAGCTTTCAAACATTTGTGGGGATTCTCTGTTCTGTCAAATTCAGGTAATAGTTGTCTTTTAATTGGAGGTTCTCCTGAAAAATAAATTCCGTACACTAATTTAAAAAAATAATTTTCTCTTAAGTTCAGTATCTCTCCCACTATAACATAGTAGCTGAACTTCTAAATTTATCATTTAAAGAGTTGTGTCAAACTGAAATTAGAAACTTTACAGACCACACTTCCTGAATTAAAATGTCTTTTCCATTTAGTACAGATGTCTTTTCCCACAATTTGGCTTCTTCTATTTAGTAATCAAAGCAAAGAGAAGGATGTAAAATAGCAGAATGCAGTTTGTTTAGGGTTCTGTTATACACATATATCATGCCTGTTTCAAATACCTTGATTATTTGAAATACACCTCTACCTCGATATAACGCTGCCCTCGGGAGCCAAAAAATCTTACCGTGTTATAGGTGAAACCGTGTTATATTGAACTTGCTTTGATCCATCGGAGTGCACAGCCCCGCCCCTCCGGAGCACTGCTTTGCTGCGTTATATCCGAATTCGTGTTATATCGGGTCGCGTTATATCGAGGTAGCGGTGTACTGTTACACTATGTAAAGTGTTTTGGAAAAAATCACTGCCAAAACTGAACATGATAAATAATTTTAAGTTTGAATATAAAGTAAAGAGAGAAATTTTTCAAAAATCTTTAAAGAAGAATATTCCAAATCTGACTCACACTGTTACCTTAGGCACTATTATATATCCTTATTACCATAGTATTAGCAATTCACAAGGTGAAGAGAAATGTTTCCTTAAACCCTCCCAACTAAAAACCAAGGTCAATTTTATAAGAAACTGCTGACTATCCAAACACTTAATTAAAAGACATTTAAACAAAAAGTTTTTATTTACGTTTGCTTTTGCATATCTATAAAGCAGCTTTCCTACAGGGCTAGTGATGTCAGTGCAACCTACACATTGTACTAATGTAGGGAAATAGCCTGTGTATGTGGAAAGATTAGCAAAGTTTTATCAGCTTTGGGGTTTTCTGTTTAGGGGGTGTGACAAAGTTCCCCCTCCACCTTGGTGGGTCCTGCGCTTATTGGCAGATTTGGTCGCCTCAGCGCTCTTCCCCTCTGGTGGAACCCACAGTCCGGGTCAACACTTCCTATGTTTGATCAGGAGTTGGGAGGTTTGGGGGGAACCCAGGCCCGCCCTCTACTCCGGGTTCCAGCCCAGGGCCCTGTGGATTGCAGCTGTCTATAGTGCCTCCTGTAACAGCTGCATGACAGCTACAACTCCCTGGGCTACTTCCCCATGACCTCCTCCAAACTCCTTCCTTATTCTCACCACAGGACCTTTCTCCTGGTGTATGATAACGCTTGTACTCCTCAGTCCTCCAGCAGCACACCCTCTCACTCTCAGCTCCTTGCGCCTCTTGCTCCCAACTCCTCACACTCGCACCACAAACTGAAGTGACCTCCTTTTTAAACCCAGGTGCCCTGATTAGCCTGCCTTAATTGATTCCAGAAAGTTCCTGATTGTTCTGGAACCTTCCCTGTTACCTTACCCAGGGAAAAGAGACCTACTTAATCTGGGGCTAATATCTCTGCCTTCTATCACTCTCCTGAAGCCATCTGGCCTGACCCTGTCACAGGGGTTATAGCTCTTTCTCAGAACTACACTAAATACTATCAAAACATTCTTGTCAAATCAGTTTAAATGGTTAAAACCTTTTCCAGAAGTGATGGATCCTGATGTTTAATTTGCAAACTTTTTTCCTGTCTGGCTCTATTATGTAGCATTGTTGGGAGTGCTTCTAAAACGTCATACAATAGATACTTTGTTGGAGACTTCTTTGTGGACAATATGCCTGATTCACTCCATGGCAATATCTATGGGGGAGCATAAACTACTATAGACCTTGGAGCAAGAAATCCACAGGAAACCCTAAAAGTAGCTTTGGAGAGGGTGTGACTAAGGGCTAGTCTACACTGGCAATGCTAAAGCACTGCTGCGGCAGTGCTTTAATGTGGCTTGTGTAGTTGCGGCAGAGCCGCTGGGAGAGAGCTCTCCTAGTGCTCTAAAAAAACCCACCTCCACGAGAGGCGTAGCTACCAGCGCTGGTGCACTGGTGCTTTACAGCGCTGAAACTTGCTGCGCTCAGGGGGGTGTTTTTTCACACCCTGAACGAGAAAGCTGCAGCGCCGTAAATTGCCAGTGTAGACAAGCAGGCAGGTAGACCTGTAGGCAGGTAGAGATGTCCTAATTCAGACATCCATGTAGGAAGCGCTTCCACCAGTGGAATCCCTATGAAATCCTGCCACAACTGAAAGCTATTCTCCACTGATGAGACACTAAATAATGAAGGTAGAAACACTACCTGTCCTTTTCTGGGGTTGAATACCCTTTAGACACAGCTAATTAGATTTGCAGAGAGAGATACAATTAGCACTTGCCTGCTCCCAGGAGGAAAGGGCTAGCGTTCTGGCCCCCTATGGTGAAAAGTTAGAGTCTAACACAGCTTTCAGGTGACAGCGGTAACTTTCATAAATATTAGCCAAAAAAATCTGCAGCTTTTGAATTATGCTAATTATTAAAGTATGGTTTGTGCTCCATAACAAGAGTCCTGCTCGTGCTCCATCTGAAATCAATGGATAAGTTATCACCAATGTCAAGGAGAGTTTTGACACTGAAATCAAGGAGAGCAGGCTCAAGCTTTAGATTACTTAAAATCAGCTTAAACAAGTTATATTGCAAAGTGCTCTAAATTATTTAGAAATACGAAATTAAATGCACTTACTGGAATTTAAAATAACACCTACCAAGTGAGGTTTTTTCTTCCATGCGTCTTTTCCCAATTCTCATATTTAATGGACAGTTTTTATCAATCTTTCTACAAAAAAAGAGGGATTTTTTTGTATTATTTTCTACTCCAAAATCAGTGAGTTTATCATCTTCCATAAAAGCTTTGGCACTTTCTACTGCTTCTGTTTCCAAGTATTTTTCTGAACTTTGGGAGCATGTAAGATGATAAACATCCAGCTTTGTTTTAGTTGGAGCATTGCATGAAACTGCTTCAGCTTCCATTTCCATCCTACTTAGACCGTGATGCTCTTTTTCAAAAAGCTGAGTCTCCTCTGAAAGTGTAAAACTGTTTAATAGAGTTAGGTGCTTATCCTTCTCACTGTGAGGTGCACACACAGGTATTTTAATATTGTAAATGTTTTGTAAAGGCATTTCAACAGGACAGCTGTTTGTTAAGTCAAGTTCTTCATTATGAGTATCCTGGATTTTGGGTTTTAAAGAGGCTTCATCTACTGCTTTGGTTGCACCAACATAATTAACAGAAGATTTTAGGGCTGTAACAGGATCTTGTCTTGAACTAAGTTGATCTGCAAAGCAGTATTTGCTGTTGGCAGTGTCATCGAACACCTGCTTCACTTTCAGAAAAGCATTTTCAGAAACTAGCACTTGCTTTCCACTTGCTGTGCTGAATCCAAAAGTAGCATTTGAAATCAGTTTGGGGTTTGAAATTTTTTTTTCTTGTGATATTGCTACCTCAGATTTCCTAAGTGCTGAAGTACTTCCTATTCCAACAAACTTTCCAACTTGGTCTCCAACTGAAGATGCATCATAATCACATTTCAGTTCTGATACACATTGTTGATCTGATGAATTATTATTTTCAATTTCAGAAAAGAGACTTCTAGCTTTCTTTAATGAATCTTCTGATAACTGTACAGGTTTACCACTTGCTGTGCTAAAAAAAACATAATTACCTGTAGAAAAGTCTGACTGATGATGATTTAGTTTATTAGGAGATTTACATAGGCCAGAAAATGTGTCATTCACCTGAAAGCATGATGTCTGAGGATTTGGCTCAGACCCAGTATCAGATTTATTTCTATTGTGCTGTAGTGCTTGTTCATCTTCATAGTTGTTCTCATTTACATTGGGAAAATGGCATGTAGCTGAATTATAGGTCTCACTCTTGTCTACATTTGAAGAGTTAGCAGAAGTAGGGCACTTAGCACTGTCCAAGGTCTCAGAGCAATTTGCTGCAATTTCATTTTGATTAGTTTCTGATTTAGTCTCAGTGTTCTGTTTCCTAGATTTATCACAGTTTTCTGAAAACATTTGTCGGACTCTCTTTAGTGCATCATAGGAAACAGCGACTGTTTTACCTCTTGCTGTATTGAATGCAACAAGTCCATCCTTAGAAAACTTTGAATTGGAGCCTGCCACTTCAGTGGCTGAGATTTTCAAAACATTCTTGGCATCCAGAAATTTTAAATCACAGTTTTGATTCACATAACTCTCATTCTGAAAAGTTTCTTCAGAACTAAGTAAGTTGTTTCTGTCTGCAGTGAGACTTACTAGTGGCTGATCCTGAGAAACACTATCCGTATTTTCTGGGAAGCAGTTCACATCATGGCTTGAATCATTTGAATGTTGAAAGTCAGACCCTTTACTATCGTCTTTTAAATGAAAAGAGCAATGTTCGTCCCTGTGAGTTAAGTAAAGGGAATCGTTTTTTATTTTGTTATCCTTTACAGTTAAAATATTTTTCATATTTATGTAAATGGGATGTTCTGCAAGAATATCTGATACTTCTTTTAAATGCAAATCTGTAGCAATCTGGTCATTAGCAGAAACAATTAATGTACTTTTTGAGCCATCATTTTTTCTTGGTGAATTTTCCAGATTTCCCTCTGCAAACAACTTTCTTGCCTCACATAAAGATGCCTCACTTGGGGAATCGTTTTTGCTATTTCCAGTATAAAATCCTAAACCTGACTTTCCAATGGCCACACAAACAGGCTTTTTTGAAAATGAAGTTTCTGAATGTTCTTCAGGTTCTTTGTCCAAATTAGCAGATAAATGTACCTCTACTGAAAGTTTTTTCACAGTTTCAACATCCACAGGTTGTTTAATTAGACTATCATCTAATATCTTTTTAGGTGGATTATCAAGTTCTTTAGAAACAAGGTTACCTGTAAGGTTAAGCATTTCTTGATAATATTTGGGAGTGATTTCTGCAAATAACTCACAATCTTTGATAAAGTCTTTGTTATATTTCTTTTTTTTAAAAGCCTGAATCTCAGAGTCCTCAAAATTACCACTATTATGCTTATTTTCTAGGAAAATATTTTCTTCTGCAAAAATTTGTTTTGCTTTGGTCAAAGATTCATCAGTAATTATAACTCTCTTGCCACTAGCAGTATGGAAACTTGTCATATTGTTCTGTTTTATATTCTTGATTTCAAAATCTGTGTCTTGTTGGATGGAGACTTGTTGATGGTAAGAGCCTATTTTGGATTTGTTTTGGTTTACATTAATGTTTTTTTTTACAGAAGTAGCATCTATTCCTTTCATGTTTACACTATTTCTCATTTCCCTATTGGAATTTGATGAAATATTATCCAGCTCTTTTTCTGTGCACGTTTCAAACAAATGGAGTTTATCCAATGGTGCTTGGGATACTGATATATTACTGCGAGATGCAGTTTGAAAATCATCTAGATTTTTTATCTTTTGTTCATTTTTATTAGGATCCAGTTCTGTTTCATCTGAAATATTTAAAGTTAATATTTCTTCAGTTTTAGACACTTCGCTCAAACATGTTAGGTCTGACAAACCTTCTTGTAAACTATACTGAGACTGAGTGTAACTCTTTTTTTTTTTGGAGATGTTCAGAGTCTGATTCTGGTTTTCACTAGATGACAGACCATTTTCCATCTTATGTCTAGAATATTTAATAACTTTTAAATTATTAATTTTGGTACTACTAGAAATACAATCATTTTCAACAATATTTTTTGTACTTTTCCCCTGATTTTCTTTATATAGTTGCATAAATGTATTAATATTTTCTTCATTATTTTTCAGTGTATTTTGGTATTCAACATTTGCATCTTTTAAACTTTCTCCACAATAGTTGTCTTTTTCTGTCAAACATCCGGAAACATTCCTTCTAGAAGTCATGTGTCTATTAGAATAACCACTTCTGGCATTCATCTCTATGGATTTAAACATCTCACCATCATCATCCAGGTTACTGAACAATTTTGCAGCTCTCATCAAAACCTCATTAGAAATATTCATTTTTTTGCCTCCAGCTGAACTAAACCCTCCAAAATTAGAAAAACTGTCCTGTGTAGGTACTGAAAAACTTGGGACAAGAGGTGTCTTATTTGCATTTCTGTGTAAGTTAGTAGAGGTAACTTCATGGTTATTTTTCTGGAAAATATCTCTCTCTTCTTTTACATTACCCATCATTGTAGACTCTTCATTTGTGTTGGTATGCTTACTGGATTTATCATTTACTCTTTGGACTTCAGTTTCAAAAGAGTCATCAAAATCAGCATCTTGCCACATAGCAGAAATATTCTTCAAGTTAGTTGTTTCATTTGTATCTACATATCCAGACAGTTCAGAGCTATTATTTTGCACCATATTACTTTGCTTTCTAAATTGTGTAAATTCAAACTGACTATTTGTTTCTTCCAGTATGTTAGAAAGTTCAGTAATTTCAGCTTCTTGGCTTGCTGTCAAGGTTCGGTTTAGTTGAGGTTGTTGATTTCTAGGCAAGTTTTGAAGAGATGAATCTGTGCTTTCAGGCAGGATACCTTGTGCATTCTTAGGTTCAACAAGACTTGCCTGTGAATCAAAACCATGGGAATAGTTACTGTCCAATTTATTATCCACAACTGGAGAAATCTTAACATTTTCCTTTGTAATTTGATTTGAAATGTTTTTGATCCCGTCTCTGGAAAAGTCTTCAAGACACTCACCTTCCATATCTTTGAACAACATTTTGCCTTTTGTAATGCTATTTTCAGAGAGTTTTATCTGCTTATTAGAAGCAGTTTGGAAGCCACCAAAGCTTTCATTTAAGCTATGGCCATTAAAACTTGCGTGTCCTGACCATTTCTCTTTGTCTTTTGGGTTTTCTTTTGACTCGATGTCTAAACATAAAGGTTTTTTTGAATATAAATCTTTATCTGATGCAACATGTTTAGAAGGAAGTTTGATCACCTTCTTTATGCAATACTTATCTTCTATATTAGGCTCTGGTTCTTGTGTAATAAAGCCTGAGACTATTTGTTCAGGTCTCATTTTTAATGCAAGCTCTGGCAAGGTAGATTTCTCAGAAATTACTACCTGTAATGAACCACAGTCTTTGCTATCAAACAGTTTTTTGCCACTTTCTATAGTTACAGTGTTTTTGTTAGCAGCTGTTTGAAGCTTATTTTCATCCTTTTCAATTGACTCGGTTTCTTGATCAGCAGCTATAACTTTTGAAAATGGAACTGTATCTATTTTTCTCTCTCTGTTTAAATTAGTGCTAGAATTTTTATATGGCTGAATTACCAAAGGTGGCAGACTTACAGCTTTGCATTCATCTATTGCCAAATGGCCTGTAACATCATTTTTGTCTCCTGATCTGTTTTTATTGCAACAAATACTACTGTTCTTACTTATACCAAGGTTAATTTCATTCAAAGTATCACTGAAGTGACAATTTTTCATAGATACTGGCTCTTGTTCCATTTCAACCAAATGTTCATCATCACTAGACGGCTCTCCAGGTTGATCCTTAAAAATCTGAAGTATAACAGTGTCATTATTTGGATTAACATTCGTATGCACATCCATCTCATCTTTCTTTGGGCATTGAACCACATGTTTAATCCTACCAGAGTCCATTTTGGAATGCTTTGTTGCTAGGAGGCAAGCTGTAGCTACAACTTTATGCTTTACACGCAAAACATTTCTATTGTTTGAAGAAACCACTAAATATTCTTTCGGAGTATTAGACGTTTCTGAGCAATCTAATGATGAAGCAGGCTGATGTTCCCTGCTATTATTTTTTAATGCATCTTTCAAGTCTTGATGTATCATTCTGTTATTGAAAGAACTATTAGGTGAGTTATCTATTCTATCTGCTCTTGTGGCATATTTGCTCAATAGCATGGAATTTTCCTCAGTATCTGACCGCAAATACTTTCTCTCAGCAGAAGAAACCAAAAGATCTATAAGAAAATGAAAAACATTGCAAAATAGTTAGACATGTCAATAAATAGAAGACACAAAGCAGTTCTCACTTATTCAAATAAACTGAAGTTAATTAACTTAGCCCTTAAATACAACTTCGGCCCCAATTCTGTAAACATTTGTGCACATGCTTAATTGTATTACCATGAGAAGTCCTATTGATTTCAAGTGTGTGTTTGCAGGATCGGGGCCTTATATGCTTTAATCATGGTCTGACAATTGACTTTACCATGAACAGAAATCAGTAGCCTTCAGTTAAAATACCATGAGTTGTAATCACAAATCAAGTAATGCTTTTGTTAAAATAGAGGAATAGGTGTTCCCCTTGTGAAGTCCAAGCTCATGGATTCTGTGGTAAGAGCATCACATGAGGCGAGATCCTTAACTCCCCAGTCTGAACTAATTATTTTGGGAAAATTCACAGCTTTTGAAAAGAAATTATGTACATCACAACAGGTGTACAACTTACATTAACCCTGGCAGATTTTTTTTAAAGTGTTTTAGTGCTCCTGAAAGGTACCAGATGGAAAGGTCTGGAGATCCAAGCCTTCTAGCTATACATAAAGGATGCAATGGTAGTACAATGTTCCCCATATTGTTCCACTAATGTTCATCAACCCTGACCTACAGACACTATCTCTAGAATATTCCATGCCCATTCAGTCACCTCTGGCAACAGTGAAAAAAAAGTTGTCAGCTCTGACAATTTATTTGAAGTGGAAACTTTTCTTCTAGAAACTAGACTGAGATCAATACATTTCACATAAGCTAACCAGACTGTTTTCAAATGGTAATATCTTTCTGTCACTATTTATTATCATCAGATCCCATTACCAATCTTATGAATTACAGTTTCCTTCAGAACGATACTTCTTCATCTGAATTGTGAAGGGGAAGTAAGAGGTAAGTTTAATTACAAAAAACGTCAACTAGTGAAAATAATTAGAAGACATACCTTGATCCTCATTATTGGCTGTATCAGGACCTTTAAAGGTACATGATTCAAATTCTGAATGAGATGATGCAGAATGACTAGAGGAACCTGTTTTTATTTCTTTCTGGACTTTTCCCTCTTGATACGGGGAAGCATTGTTTATTGTATAAATAAATCTTTTTGGTCTCTTTTTCAAGCTGGATAGCACACTCGTGCTTTTCAAGCCAGATCTCCTGGGGGTGTTTTCATTGTTTGTTGACCATTTTGTGCCATCAGGATTATTTGGAGTTGAAGCATTACATATAACAGGGTGAGAGGTAACATCAGTTATGGAAGATTTAGAATGTTCCTTTAAATGTTTATGAAAGCAGCTATGGACTTCTGGGTACTCTGTAAAGTTTGTATTTTCCATTAAGGAACTACAGTCTAAAAAGTTAACTTCAGAAACCTTTTCAGCTGCACATCCTTTCACTAACGGTGGATCCTGAACACTCAGAGAGACAGAATGCATTAGAGAGGTTTCAGAGGTTGAGTACTTTTCATAAGTTTTTGTTTCATTCTCTATGTGTTCTGACCAATTGATATTCAACAGCTTTTCTGCTTTTATTAGACTTGAAGTGTTCAGTAAAGATGTTTCAAAAGTACTGAAGTTAGCATGTTCCTTGGTCATAAGTGCTAATTTGCCTTCAGATCTTTTCTTGCTACAGACACTGGATGGTGAATAAGTATCACGGGCGGATATTTTTTCCAGCTGTGTTACATCTAAACCAGATAAGTTCAGCTGAGACCATTCAGAGGTTAAAGAAGATGGCATATCCTCCCTTGTAAATTTTCTATTCTCGTCGGGCTTCTGTATGCTATTATTTGGTATGTTAGTTGTAAATAGCTCACACCTAGGAGAATCCAATTCTCTTTCACACCTTAAGCAAGCATCTTTAAAATTCCCCATCACTTCATTAGTCTGCTGAAGTAAAACAGATGGCATTTTATCAAAGTGTGTTTTCGTAGTCCAGTTGGTTGTTTTCACTTCTTGTAGATGTTTGCCACTAGTATGACATACAGAAAAAACATGTTCCCCTGCATCTGGCATATCTATGGTCATTTCATGCATTTCTCCATCTTCCAGGGCATTTCGTGCCATTTTGTTCCCATCTGACTTAATGGAAACGTGAAATCTATCTTCCAAGCTATTCATCTCACCAAATGAGCCATCTAACATCTTCTCCAGCTCTGTAAATAGTTAAAAAACAGGATTATTGAAAATATCTTAGAAACACTACTCTATTTCTATCATACAGTCTGCAGACTGAATTTACTCCTGCTGTTTCCCTCCCAATACTGACCCTTTGCGTCAGTTTGGAGATATAGTGGTATCCACAGCAGGAGTGCTCTCCAGTGGCCAGCATTTGCTGCTATGGATAGGAGAGAGGAGACAAGGGGCAACAATGCAGATATCTCTTGCCTCCTATGGATTGCAGTGGACCAACAAGTTTTGAGGATGGACCTCCTGGCTTCTTCTACCGGGGGAAGGGAAAGTGTGAATGTCCCATAGACAGAAAAATTAGTAGAAAACTCCACAAGATAAATTTCTGTATTTGTCTCCTATGCAAGTTATACCATGCAGGGGACAATGAAGGACCTACAATTAAATCCAACGTTTTATATTTCCCCCTTCCTTTGGGTCTACTGTTTGCAGTTAATGGAACAATAATTTAACAGGAAAAATGTGGTCTATCATGACCATTCTCAATGCACAATATTATAGCATTAAAAAAAAGATTAGGAAGACAACCACAGGTTCTTCTTTTTATAACTATTTAGGAAGTTTTAAAAAGGTTACAAATCACTGCCCTATAAATATTAGAAAAACAATATTTACAACAATGCACTTATCTTTTTGTTTAGAGAAACATTACAGAATAATATAGTCAACTGTCTCTATTGGCAGGGATATTACCATTACCATATTAAAGAGTGAGCTTCTTTACACCACCCACCACACTTGTTTCTGGGGATTTTGTTAAATAAAGTGAAAATACTGATTCTACTCATACTTATCAAACTAGGTGCGTCTATCAAACATTAATATTAAAAAAATTGGACAGATGTTGGTTTTTGCAGGTGAACATACAAATAAATGTTAACCAAATATCTATGTATATATTTGTCCTTTATTTTGCTTGGTAACTGATGCATTTTTCCATAACAACCTCCTATATATTTTAACCATTCCACTTTCAGTTAGTAGTAGTCTAGCAGCTACTCGCAGATAAGATTAATTTTTCATTTCTTTGAGCATCATTTCCATTAGGAGGTCCCAAGAGAATTAACAAGGGATCATTTTACAATAAATATCCCACAATTTGTAATATTTGATTACGACTCACATCCCAGTACACCTCTACCCCGATATAACACGAATTCGGATATAACGCGGTAAAGCAGCGGTTCGGGCGGGCAGGGCTGTGGGCTGAGGCAGATCAAAGCAAGTTCGATATAACGCGGTTTCACCTATAACGCGGTAAGATTTTTTGGCTCCCGAGGACAGCGTTATATCGGGGTAGAGGTGTACTTTCTGATGACTAGACATGTCCATACAAAGAGTGCATAAAATTACCTCTTTGACCACAATTTCTCCAATATGTATCTCCATTCAGTTTACATTTATTTATTTTAACCTAACACTGAAAGTGTCTTAAAAGTCTTTTTTTTATTACTCCAGAGTGAGGTTCCATGTCCTCTTTTCCATATCAAAGCCCATTCCCCTGGTGTAACTGTCTATCCAAATCCTGTTTCCATGGTGTCATATATGGATATTAGGAAAGTTGTCCGCAAAGACTGATCTCAATTAGGAAACAAAAAATATAACTAATCAGCCAGAAGCCAATCACTTCTATTACACTTAACTTTCTCCATAGAAAAGTTTTACTAGAAAGCTGAGAAACAGGATGCCTAATCTGAAGGTACTGATACCATGGGAGAGTGAGGCAATTAAAATTGGTTTTGATTTCTAAAAAAGTTCTTTAAAAAGTTCCTTTGATGAACAGCAGGCCAACTGTATGTACTCCATAGCTCTCCCAATCATTGAAAACTCTGATTTGTAATTTGGGTTAAAATACGGATTATTTACTATGGATGTCATGGGTGAAAGTAAAGATCTTATCTCTGATTCTATCCCAAACCCAGAGAGTAGCATTTGCTAAAGAATATGTATAAATTTCTAGAGGGCATGATTTTTAAAAAATTAATCTATGGTAGCCTAGTAAATTTACATGGTCACAATTTTTTTGTTCAGTTATGACCTAGTGCTTGGCTGAATTAGATTACTCCCAATCCATTATTTCTTTGAGCTGGCTGGCTTCTCCCTTCTCCACTTCAGACAGAGGAGGGAATTGAATCCAGGTCTCCCACATATCGACTGAGTGACTGAACCACTGGGCTAAAAGTTAGACAGAAGACAGCATCACCACTACATCCTCCTTTTCCCTCCCCAAAGTTTGTGAATGGCATCTAAGTGGGGTGCCATTGCCAGAAAATTCTCTAGAGTCTTCTGTCTTTATTTTTCCTACCCTCCTTTTCTTGGGTTTCACCATCTCTGATGATTTTTTTCAGCAGCTTACCATTAGTTTCTACCTCTGGAGTATGTTCTTGGGTGTCTGAGATTTGGATCTCTATCCCAAGCAACTCGAGTGTACTTTTTCCTTGGTTAGAGTCCCTCAGTGTGTACTTCTGATTTTGGAAACTGAATGAGAATTAAAATGGGAACCCCCATCTGTAGTGGATATCTGACCTCCTGAGTGCTGCTGTAATTTTCTCCAGCTCTCTCCTTTTTTTTTTTTAAAGTTAAGGGGCAAAGGTCTTGGAAAAATGGCATCTTGTGATCTTGTAGTATAAGCTCTCCATGCTCTCTGTGTTTTTCATAATTACATTTATTGATAATGACGACATTTAATAATCAGCACTCTAGGTCTATTACAAGGTTCAGATGGAAGGAACAGCATACCCAATCAGGTATCCTCATCCAGTATTTTCAGGCAACCCCTTAATTCCACTACCATTTCTCTTGTATTTTCTTTTTTGAAACTTTTTATTATGGCAAAATTACAATAAAACATTAACATACTACATCATATGTTACTTATGCAGGATCAGGTTAACATTCAAAGAGCGTGACTCCAGATTCTAGCTTGCTCGCAGGAGAGCCCTTCTCCTCTGAGTATGCTAAAAAGGGTGACCAAATTTCTAAATGCCTTTCCTCTTTTTGGTGCTTCCTCTTGTGGCAGTGTTTTCTTTACAAGGAGAGTCCATATTTTGCTATACCACAATTCTACAGAAGTCAGATTTTTCCAATCATGTGCAATACCAACTCTTAGTGCTAACAACAACAAAAATAATGTGTGTTCTGTTTAAAATGTAGATCTTTTTCTGGAGCATTAAGTAAGCAGGTCAGGGGACCACACGACACTGGCATTTTGTCAGAAGATTAATCTTTTTAATAATTTCCTCACAAAACCATCTAATTCCTGGACACAACTACCATGCATGCAAATATGTTTCCTTTTCTCCCTCACCCCGAACAGAGTGCCTGCCTCATAGAAAAAAAAATTATGGATCTTAAATAGAGTCAAATACCATCTATACAGTCATAATATTTTTCTTTATGCGCTACACAAATTGAAGATATGTATCCCCTTTCCCATGCAGAGACTCACTCAGCCAGCTCAATTTCTTTGTCAAAATCCCTTAGCCATATTTTCATCTCAGCTGTTCTCTGAACAGCTTTTTAAATCAAAGTTGTACAGACGCTCACCGAGTTACGTAAACCCGACGTACACAAAATTGAGCTTACAGAAAAAGTTCCGTAAGCTAGAAATAGGAGGGGTTTTTTTTTCTTTTTTTTTGCGTAATGGTCATTCCGACTTACGCAACATTCGAGTTATGCAAGGCGTTCTGGAACGGAACGCTTGCGTAAGTCGGGGAGCATCTGTATATATCTTAGAAACAAACTTTTTATTGCAGCTTACTCCTGGGTCAACTCCTCAAATGGGGTTAATGGTCTGTATAGAGCCACCCTGTAACCAGATTTCGCAATAAAATGTTTGATTTGTACATATTAAAAATACAGGATTTTATATTATTTACATATCTCTTGATAGGATTCATATCAAGACCCAGGAACCACTATCCAAACTGAGTAATCTCAGCTCTTACACGCTACAAATAGGAAATATTTGTGACTAGGGATAAATTCCTTATTATTAATTAAAGTAGCTAAGGGAAAGCGCCTCGGCAACAGGAATTCAAAAAAATTGTCCAAAGCTGCTAAGTCGGTCTGGATGAATGAGAATTTTGGGGCTTTTTCAGGTGACCTAAATTTATTTTTAACCTAACAATTACCATGAATAGCTATATTTGTGCATGAGTCTTGTTCAAGTTTTGCATGGTCTATTGTTAATGCAAATGATCTCATTTTTTAATTGTGATGCATAATAAATAAAAAAAATGAAAATCAGCCAAATGAGGGAACACTAGTCCACCCCACTTTGTAGGCTTTACAGAGCTTTAGAACTCAACCTTTGTCTTTTATATTTCCTTACAAATTTTAATAGCACATATTGCCATGTTTTAATGTCATGTAAGGGACACCAAAAGAGATGCACTGAAAAAAACCTAACAACTTTGGGAGGACAATCATCTTTACCGAGGCTACTCTACCTAGCCAAGAAATTTCATATTTTTTCCCATTTCTCCCAGTCTTTTATTTTTTTATTCCTCACTGGAGAATAATTTGCCTTAAAAAGATTTTTAAGTTTCTCCACAATATTTATTCCTAAATATTTTAAAGATTCCTTTACCTATATTAATTTACGTAGCTGACAACAGTTTGTTTCGACCCTTTCAGGAATATTAATTCCTAGCATTTCAGATTGATTTTAGTTTATTCTGAAACCTGATAGCTGCCCAAATTTCAAAATTAGTTGTTCTATAATTTTTAGCAAAGTTTCTGGATCCTCCAAATATAGCAAGACACTGTCAAGCATCCAAAGCTATATTGTGTTCTAATCCTGAAGGCATTTTAATGCCCTACACAAAGGGGCTGTTTCACACACATTGCAGATGGCTCCATTGCCAAAGCAAACTCATAGGGTAACCCTGTCTTATACCCCTAGACAAAGTAAAAGAAAAGGATTGATGACCAAAGCAGACATTGAAGAATGAGTACCTAGGTC